GTTGAGTACTGGGGACCCAACTGTATAAATGTAACACACTGTACTCCATGTTTTTTGTGAATGAAGCGATTGGTTTATTGAATAAATCATTGATTGATCGATCGATTGGTTGATTGATCTCTTCCAGGCACATCCGCGAGAGGGTTCTGTAGTGTTGCGCGTTTTCCCGAACAGCGTAGTGCCCACTAAAATGCCCTCTGTGCACTCCAAGAAGGTATATTTGAAGTATAATACAACCGCGATAAAGATATTGAAGCGCCATAGAATTAACTGAATTCCTTGTTACAAACATAGTGCTTTGACCCGGTGCTCTCAACGTTGTTATCGCAGACAAAGGGGCTGCTTCACGGCCAATCTGTCGCAGCCTCATATAAGACTAACTCATAAATCCCACAGAAAAGCAACCGCCCATCCCCCTCAAACAAATAGGTTAACCGAGCGACTCAATAGGAGGCTGATCAATATATTGTCCATTTTCGTCAACTAGGAGCACTGTACGTGGGACAAGATACTGCAATATGCCACATACCCTTACATTGAGAAAAACCCTTAAGGTGACGCCATTTGATCTTGTGTATGGTTGAACGGTTACCACGCCCGTAAATGCAATGTTGCCTGTAAGTGACAATGAAGAGCACAAGCCTCGCCAGGTGGTCGAAGTTTCCGAAATCCTCGAATACGGCGTCTCTCATAATCATATGGTGGTTTTGGGACGTTAAACCCCACATATCAATGAAGAGCACAAGCCTGACGTGAGCGAGTTCACTCAGAGAGCCGAAGAAGCAGGGCAGTGGGCCCGACATCACATTAAGCAACAACAACAAGTCAGCCCGGTGCAAACCGATATAACCTGCGGCTGAGGGAAGTGTATTGTGCAACGGGTGACAGAGTTTGAAAGGGGACTCTCATATGGACGCCTGGTTTCTCCGAAAATCTTCTGCGTCGTTATTTTGACTCATAGAAAGCCCCACGTCGGATGGGCCCCTTAAACTACGAGGTTACACCACGAGGACAAGTCGGCTCCTCAAGATGCCGACGCCGCACAGAAACTGTGTGTGTGTGGTGAAGATGAAGCCATACTTTGATGGGCAATGCACCTTCATGCACCTCCAATCAGTACGACTACCACTTCACCGCCACCCCGTCGGAGAGTGCGCATCAGACTTGTCACCAACATTACCACCGTATGCATCGGGACGATGTGTTCTTGGAGGAGGTATAATGACGCAAGACGCCCCATGCTCAAGCTTCACGCGTATCTTGGTGCGCGCTTCAACAGCCCGACGGCAGAACAAGGAAAGGCCGAGCCGGCACGCACCTTCTAGAACTGTGCGTACGGCAATGAAGAATAAGTGACGCGCTGCTCAAGACCTACTCGGAGATTGGTTCCTTTGTTTAGGGTGTCTTGCGTGGAGCGCTGCAAGCACATTTCGATTACTTTTCGCGCCCAAGTTCGCCCCATAATAAATAGCTGTTATCAGATTACCTGAATTGTGCATTACAATGTTTGGCATTGATTCAGATTCATGGCTGTAGACAGAGGGGGGCGGGGGGCAGAAGGGACACCCGACTGCCTCCTTCAAGCACAAACCAGCCCCTCCCCCCCTCTTCTAAGCCACAAGAGCGCATCCCTTACCCTCCACCAGCCGTTAGCCAACACAACTTCGCCCCTCCGGACGTTAAATCTTGCTGACATCAATGTGCTTGTCAAATGGTCCACCGCTCACGGCCTGTCGACAACACTGACAGACTGTTGCTATGACCATTTGCCATATTCGAAGAGCATGAAAAAGGCACACTATGAAATACCGACCTCTTTTTATCGAGCCAATCGCACTTCGTAGTGCGTGACACGAAACAAAGTGACATAATTACGTATGTATTCGCCTTTAAAACACATCAAGGCTGAAACCGCCCAGCTGGGACTATGTCACAATCATGATCACCATCGTCATTATCGAAGCTTGAGAGATCGAATGAGTAGAACACAACCTTCACGATACTGTGACTTATGATGGTTATTATCATGGGGATGATAGTTTTAAGCTTCATTTATTGTAGTGGGCTCATAGCTTCCAAACACACACCTGCTACGTCATTCACAAGCGTAGCACCTAAAGCAGTGCTACGCTTTTTCCGCGGACTATGACACTGCCGCACTTGAGTGTTTAAGCGTTTTCTTTTTTTTTCTCTTTTTCGTTTTCTATCTCTTATTTTTTTGCCTCCTTAACTTTCTATACTTACTTAACCATTCTGCAGTGCAAGGTAGCAAAGCAGGAATTTTCTCGTGTTTAACCTACCAGTCTTTCATTCAACTTTTCTCTCTCTCTCTTCTACAAATATTACATCCATTAACGAAAGACAATGTACAGGGCCTTTTTTTCAAAGTGATTTGGAACAACGGCATGGCTCTAAGGTAGAACCGATGACGGCAAGCAATACGCCTGGGTTAGATACCAGCCGTAACACTTCTTTTATACATGTTTATATTTTCCCTTGATGTCGCATGAGTTGTTCCAAACGGGGCGTTTTTCGAGGCCAGCGTCCAAGAAGGCACTTATGGCTTTCGCCTTAACGAGGTAGATAGTTAAAAACGGTAAATTCGTGAGGCACGCATGTGTTACCTGGCTTACGTGTCCCGGGCATCCGTGTTGTGGGTAGGTGTCGGTGCTGGGCGGCATGGTGTACATGGCGACCCTCTCTCCGCACTGCATTCGGCGCATCTCCTCCAGATGCGCCCGGGACGACTCCGTCTCCGGAGAGTTGCGGTCTTGACACCTGCGACATGACGACAGCTGGTGTTGTGTGACAGTGCAAAGCAAGGGTCACTCGGAAAATTAACGTTTGTGATTCTTTCGCACACGTTGGCATCTACGCTACTCGAACTCGACATTCACAAACGATTACAAGCCTTTTATGTTAAGTGTCAATTATTTTAAATAGCCTTTTTTTCCTCGCTCAATAAACGATTGGAATAACCTGTCTAACAAGGCTGTAATCCAAAAATCGTTGCTATCGTTTGAAGAGCGTTTGACTTGAAGTGTTTAACCTGTTTTGAGTGGTTTGCCACTGTTCTGTTGTTGTTTTTTGCCCAAATTGACGTTTTTTTATGTTTTTATACCCCTCTCTTATGATTGAAGTTGAATCACCGTGTTTTAAAAATGAATACATAAATAAGAAATAAATCAATAAATAAATAAAGCGAGACTAGTCAAGCAGTTAGCTGTAAACGCTGTCCCGGAAGATAGAGGTATTCTACTCTATAAGGGTGACAGAGGTATGCGCAGAGTTCCCCTTGAGGGGAAAGTGGTGAAAGTTAGTCGCAGCGCCCTATTAGGTTAATCTATCGGGCCGACTTTGTACCCGCCCCCCCCCCCTACGGTGACTAGGTGTTCAAAGAACCTGCGGTTGAGAGGTGACACAGTAAGAAGCGACTTCATTATAGATGCTGTTCAAAGGTGATATTACAAGAATAGTCTAACTAATAATGAATATAAGAAAAAAGACAACTAGTAGGCCTTACGAATTGTCTTTTCTCTTAAATTGTGACGTTGTTGTTAAGGCCGGTGACCAGCCTTAACAACAACTTCACTTTGAGAACGTACAATTCAAATGAATCAAGCGAAGCAGTTTTAATAATAACAAAGTCAAGATGACCTACCACATTATGGTATGAAACTGCCTTAGCGGTAATCCAAAGGTAGCATGGCCCGTGCTTTAATTCTTGATATACAGAAATAATTCACTGTACACTCATATGTAGCTGCTTTTCTTCTAGAGCTCTTGCTCTACTCCTCCAAGTACATACAAACTCAGGAAGCAATCTCATTTCATGAATCTGGCCTTCAAGTTCAACCAAGGTCATGTCAGCGTATCTTAGCTGTGACGCCGGCGTAGAAAATTTTTCGCACATTGCTCGCGAGATGGTGCGAAACTCTCCAAGATAGAATTTGAGGAGCGATTGAGAAAAATGGGAGAGGAGCGTTCGGCTAGGAAAGTTTTCAGTTACTTGTACATGAAGAATGTCGACACTAAATGGTGGAAACAGACTCGAAAATTGTCAAGCAAGTATCAAGACAACAGCAGAATACTAAGCCAAAAGGAACCATCGGTTAATAAGAAGGTGAAGAAAACAGAGTGGGACACGTGGAAGATGGGAATGCTTACGAAATAATCACTGGAGACCTACCGAACTTTTAAGCAGAAAATTGAAAGGGAAAAAATCTACGATAATTCTCGGGGTAGTTCTCTGCTCTTAGAGACTAGAACGGGAGTATTGCGGACCAAGACGTACCGAGCAAAATACGAAGGCAGAGACACGGTATGTAGTGCGTGTGGAGAGTAGGAGGAAACGGCTGAACGTTTGATAATGTTCTGTAAAGGGCTCCACCCTATAGTCGAAGATGATGGCCCCGAATTTTTCAAAGCATTGGGGTTTAGAGACATTGAAGGCAAAATATTTTTAAACAGGTAGAAATAACCAGGAGGAGACTAATTGATTAGTGGCTACAATCGAGGTGCCAGTGAAATTCAATCCTCAAACACACAGTGATAGTACTTAACTTGATGGCTAGGTGGCGTGAGCCACCACCCGATCTAAAGGGCACAGTTGGATCCATCCATCCGTCCATCCATCCATCCATCCATCCATCCATCCATCCATCCATCCGTCCATCTATTCATCCATGCATTGGTCACATGCGTATTTAATGCGCTGTTGTGTGACTAATTTGAAGTTTGAAATTTCTTTCCGGGTAGGTACAAAGCATACATAAACAGCAAGGATAATGGGATAAAATCTGTGTATAGGCAGTTTGACAGGTCCCCATTCCTCGTACAATGGCAGCCGCAACATAAAAAAAAACTTCCAGTTGTTCCATTAAGGTAAAAAACACATAGAGCAAACTGATCAAACTCTGCAAGAAATACACGCTTTAAAAATAGAAACAAGTTGAACATTCATAACATCTGTGGAAATAATGCGTTCTTATAGGAACGTAACGTATAACGTATGCCTTCATTGCACATAGAAGTGTGGCAGCTTGGGCTGGTTGGTATGGCATGACGATAGTTATAGCGCGAGAGCAAAACTCTCTCTAGATCGGCGATCTCTGTCAGCGATGAGTTGTGTATGGCATGGCGTTATACGACATCGAGGTCGCTTGTCGTTTCAAGTTGCCATATGTGATTGTTGCCTCAATATGAACGCATGATTGTCGCATTGTTGCCTGTAGCAACGGCCGTGTAGCGGTGACGATCACGTGGGATGAGGTCCCATTCCCGCCATGGAGGATGGTAAAAAGTTAGTAGGGACCACTGGGCAGTTCAAAAGAAAGAAGAAAAGAGAAAGTAATAAACAGTCTGCATCGGTAGAACAGTGCCTACGGTACCTGGCTGCTGGCGCGAAGGTCGCAGGTTCGATCCCCATCACGGCGGTCACATTTTAATGGAGGCGAAATGGTAGAGGCCCGTGTACTTTGCACGTGCAATGTCAGTGGATGTTAAGGAACACCGGATGGCCGAAATTTCCGGAGCTCTCCACTGCGTCGTCCCTCGTAATCATATCTTGGTTTCGGAACGTAATATCACAGGTATTGTAACAAAATGGATTGATTAATTAACTCAGAAAGTGCACGCCGTGCTTTGCTTTCCCCCCATTTTACCTGTCGTTGAAGGGTTCACGGATTTTCCTCAAAGGCCACGTTCACGTGAGACATACAAAGCTTTCGGCTACGAAAACCTGCTAATACGCGTATAATGTGGACACAGATGAAATTGATAATGCGCGATGAGTACCATTCGAAACGAGTTCATCAGTATGCTGTTTGCGAAAAGAATATAGATCTTGTAGAGGACTCAAGCCGCTTTCAGGAGAAAGGAGTTCGTGTACAGAGAAAGGGCACCCGTCTAATTGCTCAGAAGACTTTGGTGCCATGTTCAGGGTGCTCGATCAAGGATGCAATGTTGTACAGTAAAATGAAACTTTGGGCTGGCTGGTTTTGCCTAATGAAGTACGTACAGTGCGAACTCAACGCGGGGATACTACAGGAGAGACACATAGAGCGCTTGCCTGGGTCCCTTCGTTGGTATCCGAGCCTGGACGATTTTCTGTGATGCCAAACCCGCTTTGCCAACCATTAATTGCATCATGAAGCAAGGTCCGTATTACAGCTTGGCAATAGAAATCGCAGAACTTATTCAGGTTGCTTCAACAAATGGTCATCTTATAACTTTCCAGTGGATTCCCGCTCATTGCGGCGTAATGGGAAACGAAGAGGCAGACGCTGAAGCTAAAAATGCCTTAAGCAGTGCCCCTGAAGTACGCATTGCGTTTTCATAAGCTGACACGAATGCCCTGCTTCGCTGCGTGATGCGCAGCTACACACTTCAGCACTGGACAAAACCGGAACGGCGACACCAGCGACTTCACAAATGGGACCCGGAAATGAGGTTCCGCATGCCCCCTAAATTGAAACGGCCACTCGCAAGTATGATCCTTCGCATTCGTCTTGGTGTAGCGTACACCAGACGTTATGCACATATCATCGGTCGCAGTGACACCGGTCCTAATTGTGAACGCTGTGATGTGCCAGAAACACTTGAGCACATTTTTGTGTCTGCCCAGCATGCGCACGTGAACGACAAACTGAACTATATCGCAGTAGGTCATTAACTGATGAGACCATGTTGGGCCCTTGGCCAGACACCAACAGTGCAACTGTGGTCACAAGAGCAGTTATAACCTTTTTGGAAACAACTGGACTATGTGCGCGGCTATGAAATGTGTCTCAGCTAGAAAGAACACTACATACTCACCTCTCTATCTCACCATCGTCATCCATTAATCTTGCTTTTCCCCTTTTCCTTCCCCCAGTGTAGAGTAGCAGGCTAGAGCAAGCTATCGCTCAGGCCGGCCACTCTGCCTTTCTGTAAATAAACTTACCTCCTCCGGGTGGAGTTCACGTTGTACGTACTTGGTTGTACAGTACCTTACGCAGTGCTGCAGTGCAGTGTGTGTGTGTGTGCGTGTGTGTGTGTGTGCGTGCGTGTGTGCGTGTGTGTGTGTGTGTGTGTGTGTGCGTGTGCGTGCGTGTGTGTGTGTGTGTGTGTGTGTGTGTGTGTGTGTGTGTGTGTGTGTGTGTGTGTGTGTGTGGTGTGTGTGTGTGTGTGTGTGTGTGTGTGTGTGTGTTATGGAATGGGTGGTTTGTAGAAGCAGAGAAGGAAGAAGTAACAATGAAATAAACATGGCATATGAGCTAGGCCACATCTCACACATTTAGCGTCACACGAGTCGACAGGATGAAGACTTGGTCGCAGCTCATCAGCCTCACATCATTCACGAAGCCACCGGAAATACGTCTAAACTGAATATCGACCACCGAAGAGGTGATCTCAGACGCATGCAGTTACCGGCATCATGACAGAACCATCGACTGACCTTCCCATTTCCAAGTATACCGGAGCACCGGACGATGGACCTGTACGAAATTGGCTCGACCTGTTCAAGCTCCACACTACCGCTCCATCATGGTCGGAACGGGGAGATGGTTACGAACTTCAGTGACTACGTCCCCGGTGAGGCATTTATATTTTACCTCACCCACATATTCAAGAACGACAAGTCTTGGCAAAAGATAAAAGAAAAAATGATCATCTGGATTCAAGACTATAATGAAGATTTAATTAGAACACGCACTGTAAGTGCATTCGAACTCAGTCATCGTGGTCATAAGCAGCCTTCACGCATTCGAGCACCGAGCATGAATTCACAATTCCCG